TATTCAAATATATTTATGTAGGAAAATTAATAAGAAGTACAGACAAACTTTCGCCTATAGATCTTGAAGGCTACTAGACACTCTTCACCTACATAAATTATACAGTACACTGTAATTGTTGGCTCATATGGTAACAAAGAAATGAACTTTGCGTACAAATTACATTTATAAACAACTATGTATCATTACTCTCTTCATGAATTTAATCAAAACATTAAATTGCTAATGTGAAAGTTGTTATCTTTAAATTAAAAACAGAGTTAACCATTCAATATTTGCTGATTTATTAGACTTTTTCACTATAAAAATGAGTTAATTTAGCAAATTTAAATTTCTATGTAATTAACAGAAATGGTAGATTGTTAAAATGGCAAGGGAATATTCTCACTCTAAATATGAATTGAAATTTAAAATTAAAGCAATTCAAAAAGTATTATTTTTATTCTTCAAGTTCATTAAAATAATAATCTTTAGATAGAATATATTTTTTTTAAAGTGTTATTAATAAAAATAAGATTACCAATTTAATAAAATAAGATTATTTAACCTGTATGCACCACATACTGTAAGCATAAAAATTGCAAAAAAACCAGAGCCACTAAAGCAGCCTTCAACAACAAGTTTGCCCACAAACGGAGGAAGTAGTAACTGTTTACATCAAATAAATCTTCTTTTTTTAGAATATGTCAGATAATTAATGTATTCCGGAGGTGCTCAAATAAGCACCACAGCAATTTTTGGAAGCTTCAGTGTGGCAGTTTTTACAAATTATTGAATTGTTAAATGGTAGCATGTGCTGTACCTTTATAGGACTTTCTTACTTATTGAAATCTTAAGTATTATTAACTCTGTCAGAAATCGGTTGCTTAAAGTCCTCAGATGATACAAAACATCATGGCACATTGGGTAATGTTCTGATGATGAAGCACTGCAACGTGTATTCAAAATAGAATTCTATTGAGCATCCTGTACTTACTCAAGCGCCGTACTTATCGAATAACATGATTTGTGCAGTGCACATTTTGAGAGTGGTTCTTTTATTCAATTGTTTACGGTAGTTGTTCAGGTCATTTTGATATGCTTTGGCTTAAACCCTATGATTTAGCCAAAATCACTTTTCATTGCTCTTAACTATGGTTAATCTGCGTAATTCCACATTTTATGTAGAGTTGAAATAAGTGAAATGAAGAAATAAAATAAAAAATTAAAAGATCAGACTCTTTAAAGCTAATCAAAAGACACAAAAATGATGAAAAGTCTCCAAAATGAATTGTGTAACAATAATCGTATCCAAAATATTATATTCAAAACACTAAATAAAGACTACATATAAAAAATTGATGTGAATCTCAATACAAATATCATTGTTTAGTAATACCTTTTTTTTTTACCTATATTTACCTAGATACCAGGATTTTAAAAGCATCATGAGATTAACAAAATTACCATATTGTGTCTGAAAATAGACAAACATTGACTTTAATTGATTTAAGAAAGAGGTAAAAAATAGCAAAAAAATATTGTATTTCCGGAAAGGAAAGAAGACAAAAGTATATTATGTTGTTATAACGAGAAGATGATAAACAAGAGCATTTAGTCACTGCAAGGATCCCTCACACAATGTAGGCATGTAATTACACTAGAGAGAAATATTCTTGAAAAAAATGACTGCAGTATTGATTTTAGTGTGGTAAAGTACTTTCAAGGTGATTTCACTCTTATTTCTAAAAATAATATTGTACACATTAATCAAGAAGAGAAATGTTTATATGAATTCTAAAGTAAGATACAATAATCACTGGGAAAAAAATTAAAAATATTGTATAAATATTGTACTTCGTAATAAATCAGAAAAAAATTAATTTACCAAACAAATAAATAAGTACAGCATATGAAGTGGAATTCAGTGTCCTGGATTTAAATATCGTGATTACTAAAAGTCATCATTATACAGTAGTCCTTGGTCAGACTTTTTGCAATTAGACCAAAATAGGATTTTGTTCTAACAAGTAAAATAACTGTAGACTTATAGTAGTCCATAAAGCATAAATGTGACTTAGAGTGCAGTATGTATGAATAACGGTGCAACACTGAATGTCTTCCTAGTATAAATAACAAAATACAAGGTTGGTGAACACTAAGATTTGTCAATTAAGGGTACAATTGCTTGGTTCATAATTATATTGAATTTGATTCCCGCAAAACATACTATAGCAGCATATTCAGGAGAACCAACTAAATATTGACAACAATAAATCATCCAAGACAACATGTGACAATGCCAAAGACAAAAAATAACATCTATGGTATAGAAAACGGACTCATTTCCCAATATTAGCCATTAAAAGTGGTGATTAGCGCCAAGGTTCCTGTGGATGATAGCTTCCATATCGAGGGACAGGCCTACTGACGCATGCGGATAACTGATGACATCACAGGCGGATGCCGTCTCAGCATGAATGCATTTATTGTGCTATCAGCATGCATGCTTTATCTACTTTGTACAGATATATTTCAGACTGCCAATCCAAAAAATATCACTGAATATTATGTAGCATTTATCTTGATCAAAACGATTTTTTAAATTAAAATACTAGTAGAAGAAAATATTCTAATAGTAGGATCAATCATAAGCAAAATACAGTAATAAATGATTCCTAGTTTTGTAAGGATGACAAAAAAGAAAAATGAAGCTCCCTAGCTTATTAATAAAGGTCAATCATACACTATGTAGCAATAAATAACTACTCAACTTTCTAAAAAAATAATAAGAGGATCACAAATGGCTTTCAAGCATGTTTAATCTATAATAAAGATCTAACATAAACATCAAAAGGTCACTTCTAAAATACCAACAAAATGTCAACGGAATGAAATAAAAAATTAAATATCAAACTAATATTCTAATCACTAATTGATATGAAATATCAAAAAGTTAGAGGAAACGAAATATACTGTTTGCAGTCAACCTCACTCAACTTAAAAATATGATGTTCTGGAAAATTCTTGACACTGCAGCTAGCAGGGGCCTACAAATATCTTTAATCTAATAGTACGTACCAAAAGATGCCAATAATGATGTTTTCACCTTGAATATATGAAAATTGTAATATGAAATGTCCATGAAATTTTAATGACTTCTATGTCAATTTAACATACAACTCAAACAATATGCTGTACAAGTTACAACCATGTTTTCAAGGAAGAACTGATTCTAATCCATTGCATTTGACAGAAGCAATGGTAGTACTCCATCTAAAATATTCTACAAACATTACTGTCAGGAGTGACTACTGTAGTTTTTACACTTATGGTCTTTATTATCTTGTGAGTGTTTAGTTAATTTACTGTATACACATAGGTGTCCCGTTTATCATACGGTATATGACTATAAAAGCATTTTGTGAAGTAAATGCAGTTTGATTTGCGATGATCATGACATGGTTTGACCTATGATTCTGTAGAGTTCAGTCATATTAATATAATAGGAAGCTTTCGATTTGTGCGACGACGCGAAGCTAGAACGGAATCACTCATGCGTGACCGTCTTACCTGGCATCCTACGTTCCAGAATCTACTCGAAGAGGTGACCTTAACGTTCTTGCATGCGCAAATGACTTTTAGTGACGTCATTACGTTCTACGTCCTACCGCTGCCGTGCAATCTAAATCTCCCTAATAATTGACTCTTCGTACGAATAAAGACAAATAAGAAACTCAGACAAAGCTAAGTTACTGCAATATTGCAAATATATTCCCAACAATGTCTTCTGTATGAAATGGTCAGACCTAACCGCAGCCGCAATTGGGGTTACGCGGTCTCAGACCTAGTAATATTACCGCAATATTCCTGTTACCGTACATACTGAAGTGTGGAAAGCAGGTCACATTCTTCAATATTTACTCTTTTACTCAGCAATTTTCTAGAAACAATAAACAATAACATATGCCCTTAACATGTGATGACTAAAAGATTAACCAATGCCTCTCTGGTGTACGTGATCCATTCACACAGAAAGGCGTTATATTACAGTAATATTACCGCAATATTTGGTTTGTATGAATGACCACAATATTGCCTGAACCTCTCTCTAAAAATGGCTTATATGAAAAAAAGAGAGCTATGCCATGCAAGAGAGGTCATGGTTGGCAAACGCACATTGCTCTCTGCCACTGCACTAGCAGCACATCAGAAAGCCCATCATAAGGATCAGCATAACTCTTATATCATTGTAGAACACGATGGACAGCAGATGATGATAAATTCAAACCTACATTGATTCCCATTGGACAATTTCATACACTCAATTCACCAGTAATTCCTCAGTAATGAATGTTCAGGTGGATAGAAGCACAGATGAGCCTAACTGGGAAAGGAGCCAAGTAAGCTAATAAGTAATCAAAAACCTAATTAAAACAATAATTAAAATCTAACAACATTTGTAAACGAAACTCATTTTAATAACATGATCAAGCGCAGGGAAAGAAGCTTGGCTAATGCGTGAAGAGCGACATCGTGTCAAATCAATATTACATTTGAAGCATTAATAGACATTACACAGAAGATCAATAGAAAAATAATTACATTTGCCATTTTACCTTTGGTAAACAAAACAAAATTGAACATATTGATTGAGTTTGAAAACATAACCCTGGAGAAGACAACTCTGAATTTGTAACAAACCAGTCGTCTCAATCAGTATGGATATTGATATACAGATAATAAAAAGTCTTACAAACTTCCCAATTTACGCATCAATGTAATTTAATACCTCTTTGTATAAAGTCACACTGTATGCCATGACGAGCTTCTTTCTACCGTGTTACTGGTAATGGAGTCGAACTGTACTAACGTAAACAAAATTGGAATCTAGTGCATACATTGTTACAATAATAAAAAAAGGGTTTAATTCCAGTACAATTAAACTCATTTAATATAACTCTACAATTAAATCTCCCAAAAAAAAAAAATACAGCAGTACAATAACATGTCTACTTACAAGAAAAATTAATTACCGTAAATAAAAAGTCTATTTAAGGAGAAATATTTAAACTCAAACTCTATCTTTAATTGGAGAAAAAAACATTTAATTCTTTTTTTCCTTAATAATAAATGATAAGGCAACTCTTAAAAGGCTGCACAATCTTACAAAAAAAATGGTAGGTGGTACAAAAAATGAAAATACAGAACTAAATCCTAGAATAAAACTTAATGGTCATTTTGTTAGAATTTTAACAAACTTAATCTGTACCCTACCCCCCAGTCTACACAAATGTACACCTTAAACTGCTGTTGGATGGACTGCAGTAATAATAATCCAGGCAACCTGGTTAGTTTCAGACTATATCTTGGTTTTCATGTCTCTCTTTCAACCATAACATGTAAAATAGCACAAAAGCCATGACATTGACATATTGTGCAATACAATCTTCATTTCTATTACTATTCATTATTATTTTAGTTATTAATATTCATGTTTACACTGACCCAGTTAATAGCCAATGTCCCAGTTCGTCTTAACATTCATTCTAAGGTTGATTAAAATGGTGACGATATTAATAACATTAATCCTACCGATTAGATTCAACAGGATGAAGTGAAATGATTTCAACATGCAGTGTTGTACTACTGTATGCACTAAACCCAGATGTTCTAATACAGAGTGTGATCCTATATTATTATTATACTATATCAATATTTTTCAAATCAATATAGTTAATCTATCATAACTCAGCTGATTATGCGTAGTCTTTATGTAAATATTTTTAAAAATGCAATTTGAAAGGTAATATTACATTTCTAAAGAAGATACTAAATTATTACACCTGTCTGTCATGATAGATAATACTAAATACTACGATGTACACTCTATTTTGCATTCATTCCTAGTAAATAATGATAATAATTTAGCTACAAATTTCTTCACCCCACCCCTCCCCTTTTTATTTTACAGGACTATGAGAGGACATCAAAAATCCTGATAGCTTGGTAACCGAAAAGAACATTTGAAATGAAAACTATACACATTTAAAGATGGAATTATTTATAAAAGCAACCTTTTCCATGTGACTTAAAACGAAATAATTCAACTAACTGCACAATGCCACTAGCATTTCTTAGGTACATTTAAACTACCATAATTTATAATCCATCATGCCTAGAGTACAGTATCCATAGTTCTCTATTTTTTCTTTATATACTATTGATTATTTCTTCTATTGTTCAGGATTTCTGTGGATGCAAAGAACATAAAACCATCAACAATATCCTTTTATCACATTTCAATATTAGAATGGACTTCAGTCAATTTCTATAACAGCTAAATATATTTTTTGCTGGCATTTTGAAAATTTTGTTGTATATTAGTACTGTATTATATTCCCTTTCTTGTCAGGCTAAAATAATAGCAGTTTAGTTCACTTGGCTAAAGCTGGAATGGTACACAGGTTTGATTCATATAGCAATTTTCTTTGCTCTACTATATGTCATTGTAATCTACTTGGCAGTTTCTATTTTCCATCAATCATAAAATGTATTCATCAAAACTTCAAAAATGTTTAAGAATGAAAATACAAAATCAAAAAAAGATGAAAGGGATACTGCAAAAACAAAAATCAAAAAGCTTGTAAAACACGGTCTTCGATTAAAAAATATTAAAATTAAAATGTCAAATAAAAAAAAACAATAAGACGTAAGAAAATAAAGTTGTAATTAAATCCTGAAACATAAGATTAGGCAGTGAAATAAATTCTTAAAATACATATGCCATATCTGTTTCAACTATTGAGTTAAAATGTGTGTTTTGATAGTGTACAGAAAAAATACAGTACACCAATAATTATTCAAAAACTTGTATTAATAATAATACAGTTGTTTAACTTCATATTCTTTCTATTTAAATTTATTTAAATATAATTATTATCAAACTGTCAATTACCACTTAGATCACAAAAATTTTATCTAAAAAACATAATGATTTTGTAGTACATGTCTCCCTCTAAATAAAGACCGCTCAAATTAAAGACCACATTTCTGTGTTCCCAACTTATTAAATGTCTTTATCTTTATTATTCTAACTAGAGACCAATGCTGCTAAAGAGCATGGAAACCCCAGTCCCCAAAGTGGTCTTTAATTGGAGGGAGACCTAGAGTATATTAAGATTTAAGTACCTCTGAATGGGATTTTGGTGAACTTTATACAAATTTTGATTTTGGATGGATCTCCTGTACAACTGTATAATTCAGATTTAGATTCAGGATTTATTTGTCCTCACAGAAACCTGTAATGGGCACAATTGCTCATATCAAATCACAAATTTACATTTCATACATAATTATAAATATCAATATTAAATACATAACAAATTAAAAGATTAAAAACATTTATATAGGAATATGTGAATTGTATATAAATAAAGTCATAATTGTTAAGTGAAGCTTATGGATAAATTGACTATGATATGCCTATTTGCAGCTATCACTGTCATCACGAATGGAGTAGGGGATAAATGATTTGAAAAGCCAGTTTGTTCAACATTGAGTTTAAGCAAGGCACATATTTCGCGACCACTGTCAGTGCAATTCTATGGAGACCTCAATACAACAAGGAACACATGACATTATTTTCAACAGCAGTTGGCTTTAGAATGCCTCCAACAACCAGCAGACAGTGCCAATCAATCAAGCAGAATGGAGATTGGTTCATCGGTTGACACAGGGTGTCTTTCTTTAGTCTATTAAATTATTATAAATTTTTCACTCTTTTGAAAAATTAAATCTGTTACTTACAAGATTTGAACCACAGACCCTGTGATGAAATTGCAAGCACCTTAACCACCAAGTAGCAGACATTCCATATGACACATTAAGTTGACAAATGATTGGTTGGCACCAATCAGTGATTATCATCTGCTTACTAATATATTCCCAGGCTGCTCATTTTCCAGACTGATTGAATATATTTCGCTGCTGAATTTCTCATTGATTCAATCAAAAGAAAATAATTTGGAAATCTAAATTATTTTAGAAATATATAAATAGCTTTGAATTTTAGAATAAAGCATTAGTATTTTTTTTGGTACCCAATTATAAAGTGTTAAATCTCAATAAACTGCTATCATGTACATTACTTTGTAAAATGCATTAAACATTGATGACTCAAGAAAAATATTTTTTTTATTGAAATTTTCAAATGAGCTAAGAAAATTAAGTAATCAACTTAATGATTTTGTTTTTGTTTATACATTTAGCTGGAAAGTCTTTGCACTATACCTATAAAATATGATTTGAAATCTTATTCTTCCTGTTTCATCTGTTAAATATGCAGGTAATATCATTATGTGGTCAACGAATTTCTATAATGTATTAAAAATTTGAATTACCATAATAAAAAATTTGTTCACATTATGGATATAATTCTCCGTTCAAATTATGGTTATAATATAATCCTCAACGTTTTTATCAATGTTGTAATCTCTTATACTAAATAAAAATATAATATCAACAATATCATTGCAATGAACAATAAGAAAAGGTCTTTAGACATGAAAAATACTTGTCCTAACTAGATGACAGGCTAAGAATCATTTGTATATTTTTTTTTAAAGTTTAATATTTTTTTTCTAAATATCTAAATACTGTTAAAATAATCAAATCACCTTTGGTATTTATTATGGACAAATTCTAAATGTCATCAACCAACGCATATAATTCCATGGAGGAATAATGAAAACAGTCATTGAATTCAATCCACTAAAGCTGTAGTTTTGTCAGTACAAATGCTACATTTAAAATGAAAAATAAATACAATAATACAATACAAATATAACATATGGCATAATTTAATAAGAAAATCCTTGATTTATTTGTACAATTTTAACTTCTCTCACAATGGAGAATGGTACTATAATTGATATTCTTTTCACGTATTATTTAGTATATTTATTTGGAAATTTTCACAACTACTAACTTAAAGTAGCCATTAGTTAGGTTTTAACTAACTTTTAAATACCTTGCAGCTCCTTCATTTTATCATCTTTTCATACATAATAATTATTTTTTATTATATTACTATGACTTCAATTTAAAATGATCTATGATGAACTAGACAAGCAACAAGAAGTAAAAATTAATCTATCTTTGTATCTGTCTAACCTAATATTATTGTGCTTTAGATTCAACTATGGATGAATCAGATGGATGGATTTGAAAAACATAGTCAGCATAACATTATACTTTTCATCTTCCCAACAGCATTTTACCATAATTCAACCTTTAATAGGTAAACTTAAAAGAGGTATAATAAAGATATTTTTTTCAATTAAATTCAATTTATTCAACAATATACCCCCACCCCAAAAAAGGGAAGAGAAATATAGACACTACAATAAGTACATAAAAAGTGCACATTTAAAAAGGTCGAAACACAAACATAAACCCAGAATTAACCATGAAGCAAGGTGAATCAAAAGGACTTTGTTAAGTTAATAATTGTATTAATATTATTACTGTATAAAAGCAATTCTTTACACTGTCACAGATTCCGTGATTTACATAATTATGGCTATTTATATCGGCCTTCAACTGTTTCCAGTATGCATTATTAAATATGAAAGATACAAAGGAGGCATTTTTATCAGTGTTATTTTTTATCCTGTGAATGAGTATTTTACAATCAGTTGTGACAGATCAATTTGGCTACTGTAGATAAAATAATATCTTTAACTTTTGCGAGATTTAAAGCATGAAGCAGGGGTGTCCGTTCTACAATACTTTAGGGATACCTAACGCTGCTTTGAATAACTTACTTTGTATTTTATCCAAAGATACAGTGTTAGGTGAATTTATACACTGAGTACCATATACAAGAATTGGAACTAAAACACTGTTCCAAACATGAAGCTGAAATTTTGAAAGCTACGTAGCTAAATTAACTCTGCAAGGATAGACAAATACCAAAAGCTTCACACGCCAGGCCCTAATTGCATTCATACCGGTGTTCAGTACATAACGGGTGCTGTAAAGATTGTCTTGTGTGCATTTATACAAAGGCTGAGTGGGAGGAAAGGTGAGTTAACCTACATAGTGCAACTCTCTACATTTTCTATATCTATTACAGATTACTAGGTAAACACAATGGGTTCAGTATGCAACTTCTCCACAGTATGCAAATAATGGGGTAAAACTATCTGCCTTCCAACAGCATGTGTAATATAGAATAAATGCCAACTCTTTATCGCAATATAATTATATCTGGCAACATTCTAGTGTTTATTATTAAAGCAACAGTGTAAATGACGACTGCTGTGAATATGTAATTATAAACTAAAACAAATAATAATAATAATACAAAACCAAATATTTCTTTTTTCAAATTGCTTGGTTACTGTATATATATATATTTACACTTTTAATCTTTGCTGTTCCTTTGTAATACCTTGCACGCACTTGATAAAGCCATGATCTGGGTTTTATGTTACATTTTTTTTATTGTATTGAATAAAGAATTATTCTTCGATCATGAGAAACCATTAAGATGATGTACACTGAGTTTACAGGAATGGTTGACTACAAAAATTGACATGGCCATTTTCTATGTTTTGCTTTAATTAAAGCATCATCACATCATTACATACCCTATTGTTGTAGCAGTCTCAATTAATCCACAAAAAAAACCATATATACTTTTAAAAAATTATGTCAAGGGTCAAATAATTAAAGGTCTTGATAATCGACCTCATTCAGTTCAAGGTACCATACTTTCAAGCACACCACCAGCCATTTAATAAGATGCAAGATCTTAAGTTTAATTAGCAAGTTCTATCAGCTGCTGTAGCTCATATACCGTACACTCGGAAAATATTCTACTCGTCTTATAATGCATCACACATCTTAGTTGCACTTTAATAGCATAATTAGTGAAATAACGACCATTACAGCCCGACAACACAGCTGAACATGAGTGAAACTCTAAAGGCAAATAAATGTTGAACTATAGCAAGTGGAGAGCTTGGTATATGTAGACTTTACATGACGTTAAATGTGGGCTTAAAATCAATTACATCACTATGTGAGAATTGCATTTCAAAGTTACAATGTATTATGTTCTCCGATACATAGCCTTCACAGGTGTTTATGCACATCACCATTTTTTACCATTGTCCGTTCCAGATTTTCAACCAGAATGGGGAGTATTATCCCTACTTGAAAGATATGTTTTTAACCGGACATCCTGGTATGACCCACTTAAGAGGATTTTCAAGGAAAAAATCCTGGATACTATTAGTAAACACACGGATATCAATTCAATCATGCTCCAAACATCCTTTCTGTTTTTTGTTGTTTGTAATGTTTAGCACCATGACATATTAATTTGTTCATTTAGTCCTGCTGTTCTTTGAATCTGATACAGTATCTATACTAAAATCATTCTGAAACAAAACTATATCAAAAAAAGGTTTTTTTTTAGGAATAGTTCATTAATTAGAGCAGTTTAAGAAAACATCGTTCGTAATAACATCAGAGCCCCAAATCGCTTTCATATATAGCTTATAATATTTAGGACGTTTATAATTGGGAGTAAATACAATGGAAATCGAAATCAGTACCTCAAGATGTTTGCTGTGAAGATAACATCTGTTAATTCCACAAATAAATTTTTTAAATTGTCTCAAGAACATTAATGTTTCCAAACAATTAATGATTTCAGCGAGCACTTTGTTAAAGCACCATAAAATGCATTAGCGAATGATGCAGTACAGTAACATCATCATCATCATCTTTCTTTATTGAGCCATAAACCTTGTTTTCCAGTGTACTTAAAGTGTCGGTGAATGGTCTATGAACTGGAGACAAGTGTAATATACAAGTTCTTATCATGGGTCTGTCTTTTTGTACATGAAACAGGCCTGTAATCAGGTTTAAGCGAAGTGGGGGTTTCCTATAGGGAAACTCAGTAGTGCTTCTTTAATAGGTAAAGGTTATGATATAATACCACGACAGTAGTAAACTGTTCAAAAAGGGGGTTCGGCCGAAACCTCCAAACCCAACCCCCCGCCCCCTGGTACGGGCTTGCTAGACCAATAGCTTAACCATCTTTTCCGAAATATGGATGTGTGCAATGGTAATTTGTATTTCAGGCCTTCAATTGATATACAAAAGTAACAAAGAATCAAAGAATAACCTGCGCACATGAAGTGGCTACTACTCCTTTATTAACAGACTGAGCTATGCTACCATACAATTTTTAAGCAATAAACTAAATTTATACTGTATCTGAATTATAATCCTTCTCATTTGCCATGTTTTTTTTAAACAGAAGAACACAACATATGTTCCAAAAGTCATTTGAGGATAAGGTAAATTGACTGAACATCAAAGTTTCTTAAAATGAACATTATTATGTAATACTAGAATATGAGCGTATATCATTCAAATGACGTACACACCAAATTCTCTCACGTTGCCCATGAACTATACACGTAACAGGACAACCAGCGAATTGGCAGACTATTGAACAATCTGGATTGTTTCGCACTGATGAGTATAGTATGTTTAAATGGCGATGTACGCATGCGGTTTTACGGAACACATAGAGGTAATATTGCAATACTTTTATTCAAATATTATGTAATTTTATAATAAACATTAGTTGAAACAAACCCATGTGACAAAAATTCATGTGCATGGAATTAATGTGCAAGTCCGTACATCATCATGATTTTAAATGAACGTGTATTGTTATAGACATGATGCTCTTTACGATCTGGTTGCATAGGGCTCAGTTTTGTGGATATCACACAACACATGCCATTTTCTATCATGCAGGAGCATAATTTTGAAACTTATCTATCAAACTGATTTTTGGCACTTCTTTTCTAGATTTATATACTCTATATTGTAGAAAATACGGTATA